TGAAGCAGAAGAAAAGAATACGAAGAAGAAGGTTTAGGTTTATTCAACAGATCCAGCAACATGGCACAGAGGTGTAATCCAAAAGTACTCCGTTCTACTTCAAGCCTGAGTCTGAAGATTCTCAGCGCAGTGCACAAACTGTTTCACCGGCGAGGATCCTGAAATATTTTGTGTAGATTTTTAATTCCAAATTTTGTCCGGTCAACACCGTTAGGCTACTCTTTTGCGATTTCCAGCTGCCAAGGTTTTTTTTACGTGCCCAAACTGTGAAAAGTATTGTTAATAAGAAGAAGAGGGTATATATTTACTACGATATATGGCTTGGACTTGTCCATTTCACCATATTATCTGATTTGTCTTTGTGATATTTTACACATGTAACATTATTTTTTTCAGACGTTGCTTTTAGTTACTAAGTATGTCAGGTACACATTCACTCACAAGTGCATTCTTACTTATCAGATGTATCAATGCTAGAAGTTTGTCTGTTAAATTTACATTAAACTGCATAATATGACGACTCTTTGTGTGTGTGAGAGTGTGTGCCTGTAAGTGTGAGTTGATTATTAGGCGAATTCTTAGATGATCTTTACTTGTCTGTAAAAATGGATCAATCAGAAAACAAATATTGATCTTCTTCTTGCTCAAATTTCATATTGCCTAATCATCAATAAATTATATACCCCGTATCGAAGCTCAAAAATCTAACTACCAGTTATCATCATGTCTGCTTTCTCGATATATTTGCCTTATCGGTAATTGTATATAATTATATTTCTATTTTACAAAAGTAGATTTGTGTAGCTTTTTATCCTTCCGAACTATTAAATCTCTTTTTAAGAAGTACGTTATATCCGTATTAAAGCAAAAGTAAAGGACTCCAGTATGTATTGGTATGTGGTTGTAGGCTCATATTGGTATACCAGACTTTATAGGTAATGTTACATTTTCGCGAAGGCTACCCTTCATTTCCAGAAAATTTGATGACGTACTTTAAGCTTGGGTGAACTAGAAGTTTATCTTCTTATTTTAGTTGAAGGCTCTCCGTGTAGGTTGTTGGTATAAGACTTCTGTGAAAGGTTGTGCATGCAAAACTCAGGTTTACAAGTTCGAAGTCCAGAAGCGGGCGAACAGCAGAGCTATCTGCCAGAGTTTAACAGCAGCTGAAAGCTAGTATTAATTATAATAAGAAGAGGAGAAAGCCATAGACCTCTATAAAGGCTGTGGTGCGACACATGTCTTTCACTGATCCATACAGCTTGGTTTCAACTGGAATGCCAACTGGCCAGAACTCGGATCTCTCCACTGCTTGTAGAGAACGTATCTGCGACATACGTTCTCTTTCTGGGGTGTCTGTACACATGGGTAGTAGTAGTACATTTGATCCCACTAGGACATCACACAAGCGATAAACACCCGATGACACAAAGTGCCACCATGTGGATGAGGATCACCGTGGAGAGGTCCCAGAAACCGCGTTCAGACAATTGGTCATATTTATGGCCTGCCTATATTGCGGCCCCTGGAAAAAGCCAGGGTAGGGCTTCAAATAACAACAAATTTAATCCTAAAAAGGACGTAAAGGTTAATTACCCGTGCCAGGGAAGTGTTCTACAAGGGCCGAGTTGTGAGCCTTATATTTTGCGTCCGAGATCTAGAAATTCAGGCGTCTAAGAATTCAACCCCAACAGCAGATAGTTCAGAGGAAGACATTGACGCATTTTATGATGAGTTAGACATGGCTGTTGATCAATGCAAAAATTGTGAAGTAACAATGGTACTTGGAGATTTCAACGCAAAAGTAGGAAGTGAAAAAGTGTACGGAATAACGGGTGGATATGGACTAGGAGAAAAGAATGTGAGAGGTGACAGATTAATAGCATGGGCTGAGTCGCGCAGCATGATAATAGGTAACACCTGGTTTAAACACCATCCTCGAAGATTGTGGACTTGGAAAAGTCCTGGTGATAATGTCCGCAATCAGATTGATTATATTTTGATTTCAAGAAGATTTCAGAGCAGCTTAGTTGGAGCTAAAACTAGACCAGGGGCAGACTGCTTTAGTGACCATGTTCCAGTTGTAGGAAAAATTAGAATAAAACTAAAGAACATTAGAAAAACACCACAGAACATCAAGTTAAATTTAGGAATTCTTAGAACGGATAAAGAAATTAAGGAACAGTACAACGTCACTGTACAAAACCGGTATAATGCAATGGAAATTATACAAACAATTGATGAACAGTGGGATATGTTGCGTGAGTTAATTCAGCAGACATCAAAAGAGACAATCCCACCAACCCATACAGTTGCAAAAAAGAAATGAATGTCAACCGAAATTCTGCAGTTGATGGATGAAAGAAGGAAGAAAAAGAATGATAAAGAAGAATACTATAGAATACAAAAAGAAATAGTGAACAAATGCAAAGTGGCTAAAGAAGCCTGGCTGAATCAAATGTGTACAGAGATTGGGGAAAATCACGGGAAAGACTCACATTCCATGTACCAACAGATAAATATGTTAACAGGAAAGATGACACGTAACAGCACTGGATGTTTGATATCAAAGGATGGTGACTTATTAATGGGACATAGTAATATAATTAACAGATGGACAGAGTATATAGGGGAATTGTATGATGATAATAGACCAGACGTAGAGCTGCAGAACAACAATGATGGTCCACCAATAATGACTGCAGAAGTTGAAGATGCAATACATCATATGAAGAAAGGAAAAGCACCCGGGCCAGACAACATCTCACCGGAAGAAATCGAAGCACTGGGAAATTTTGGAATTGAAATAATAACTAAACTTTTAAATGATATTTATAACAGTGGGTATATTCCAAATGACCTTTTAAAATCCATATTTATAGCTCTGCCGAAGAAACCAGGCACTTTAAAATGTGAAGACCATCGCACAATAAGTCTTATGAGTCACATGACTAAGATTTTACTGAGAATAATTATGAGAAGAATAAGAAACAAAATTAAACCAGAAATCAGCGATGAACAATGTGGATTTGTAGAAGGAAAAGGTACAAACAATGCCATATACATCCTAAGGACATTGTCAGAAAGAGCTATAGAAGTAAAGACTGATTTGTACTTATGCTTCATAGACTATACAAAAGCATTTGACTGTGTGAAGCATGAAGAAGTAATCAAACTGTTAGAAAAATTAAACATTGATGGGAAAGATCTAAGAATAATAAAGAATATGTATTGGCAGCAAACAGCAGCTATAAGAATTAACAACTGTTTAGGTACATTTCAAAGCATAAAGAGGGGCGTACGACAAGGATGTGTACTTTCACCTGATTTGTTTTCAATATACAGTGAATATATTATGAGATCTTTAATTGATATGCCCGGAATCGTGGTTGGAGGGCACAATATAAACAATTTACGTTATGCTGATGACACAGTCTTGATAGCAACAAGTCAGAAAGAATTACAGGAAATGATAGACATTGTGGTGTTAGAAAGTGGAAGAATGGGCCTCAGTTTAAATAATGGGAAGACAGAAGTAATGGTGGTATCAAAGAAACAAATTATTCCTAAATGTGTAAAAAAAAGTCAATGGTGTTATTTTAAGACAAGTACAGAAATTTAAGTATCTGGGCACATGGATAACATCAGATGGAAGATGCATAACTGAAATAAGAAACAGAATTGGACAGGCAAAAACTGCATTTTATAAAATTAAAAACATCTTGTGCAATATATCCTTGTCATTGAGAGTTAGAAAAAGAATTCTTGCTTGCTACATACATCCAGTTTTAACATATGGATGTGAATCCTGGACAATCGGTAGGCAGGCCAAACAATTTTTAGAGGCTTCAGAGATGTGGTTTTACAGAAGAATGCTTAGAATACCTTGGACAGCCAAAAAAAGCAACCAAGAGGTTTTAAAAGAGGCGGGAGACCGAAGACAACTTATCACTGACATCAGAAGGAGACAGTCATCATTTTTCGGCCATTTTATGAGAAGAGGGAAAATAGAACATGTTGTGACCACTGGAAAGATCTGTGGAAGGAGGGATAGAGGAAGACAACGAGAGAAGATGCTTGACAGTCTTGTTGCATGGCATGGAGGTGTGTCGGCACACGAACTGATACATACTGCAGGAGATCGCGGATTATGGAGAGGCATGATCGCCCACGCCAGTCGGCAAGGCACCTGATGATGATGATGATGAAGAATTCAAATATTTGCAAACTATCATTTCAAAGCACCAACTTGAACAGTTATTTCACAAGAGAGACAATGAAGACTCTGATCATAAGGGTGACATTTCAAAACGATCAGTTAATTGTTCATCATAATGTGCCATATCAGTAAGGGTAGAACACACACAAAATCTGTGTGTGGGTTTGAGTCTCCATTTTTGAAAGGGTAAAAAATTTTTTAAAGGGAAAACCATTTTTGAAAGGGGAAACCATTTTTGAAAGGGAAAACCATTTTTGTTAGGGAAAACAAAAACTAACAGACTCTCCTGTTGTAATAGGGGACTAATGCAGGATTCGCTGAAATCAGATGTGTTGGACCAAACGGCCGAGATATCACTGTCTAAATATAAAGCACAACACAGTCTGCTAAATGCCCTGTCTTTGCCAAACTCAGATGGAAAAGACTGGGGGGGGGGGGGGGGGGGAGACCACCAATCCCACCACACAGGGGATTCCTTCATATGACTGCAGCTCGATAGGTAATTGATGTCTTCTTCTTCTTCTTCTTCTTCTTCTTCTTCTTCTTCTTCTTCTTCTTCTTCTTCTTCTTCTTCTTCTTCTTCTTCTTCTTCTTCTTCTTCTTCTTCTTCTTCTTCTTCTTCTTCTTCTTCTTCTGCGTTCATCAGAAGATGTAATTGCAATGTGTCCGTTTACAGCATGGCTGCGATATTTGCACCTTTCGGCCAACACATCCGATTTCTGCGGGCATTTGTTGACCGGATTAGCCTTCCCGGTAAGTGATGTCTTAATAGCTACATAATCAGTTTTCTTGATGTTTTACCCACAGGATCATGACCTGCAACAGAAAATTGACCATGAGATCAAGATGCGGGAAGGTACAGCACGTCTGCTTGTGGCCAGCAAACACCCAGCCCAAGTCCTGGAGGCCGCCAAGAATCTCCTGTCAACCAACACCCGTATCATTGCTTATATGTCTGAGCTCCAGCGACGAAAAACTGCAGAAGTGCTTGGGAATCAGGCGTAAGAAAACTTATTCATTTCATTTGAGTTTCAAATATTTCATCATTTAAGTTTAAGTCGTAATCATTGACTTCATTGCACCGGGTTTTACCTTGTATGACTTGGTCTGTCTTTGTAGAATAGCTAGTCACCTGCTCAGAGCCTTGCACAAGGCACAAACACCATACCTCCAGGGATGATCCCCAATGGACCTTTATGAAAATTGCACTTATGAACTTGAGCCCACAACATTTAGACTTTAGAGCATTAGGCAAACAGCTTGATCACTTTGCCCCCCCCCCCCCCCCCCCCCCCCCCACCTTGACCTCATCCTATGTGTTTTCAGACATATGCTGGCAAGTAAAAGCAAATAAAATCATTGGATACACAACACCAGTTTAGTAGAATAAACATGTAACAATTAAAAAGCACTATTCAATATAGTATTTTTACAAACATTTTATTACTAGTGCCAAGTATGGATATCAACAAGTAAAGAAAAAAAGAAAATCGAAAGAATAGAAATAAGGTGTCTAGAACAAATCCTAAATGTAACTAGAAGAAATTACAATAACAGGAAAGAAGTTGGGATGGAACCAGTACTAAACTACATCAAGAAAAACCAGATCAAATGGTTTGGTCATGTATCAAGACTACCACCAGACAGTGCACCACAAGGAGCCCTTTCACTTAGGCATAATAGAAGCAGAGCCACATGTCGACCATAAGAGCAGTGGATAGATTTAATATCCGAGACCATAAATACTAGCATCTACTTTCACACATATCAAGGCTCGCACCCAAAGCCTCTTTGGAAGCTGACAGTGAAAGGCAGAACAGGACTAGAAGAAAATAAAATGAAGAAGAAGAAGAAGAAAAAGAAGAAGAAGAAGAAGAAGAAGAAGAAGAAGAAGAAGAAGAAGAAGAAGAAGAAGAAGAAGAAGAAGCAGTTCAGTTATATTGAAACTAGGAAGCTTTTAAGACAAAGAGCAAGTGGAAAACACTGAGATAAATACCTGTGTGAAATTATTGTAGGACAAGAACGCAGACTTGATATGGCTTTAGTGATCCAAAGAGACAGCAGATCATGATTACCTACCCTTATTGACATGGCATATGATGATGATAATGATGATGATGATGTAATACAGATTGATTTTTCGCAAGTTTCAAAGTATCAAAGTCTTCTTCTGGCTTATTTGCTTCTCTTTTGAAATAATTTGTTCACTTTGATGGTTTGAAATTATCGTATCTAAATATTTTAATCTTTAGACCCTTGGAGGGAAATCAGCTCCCGTGCAAGGCAAAAGTCAGTGTTTCAGGTAAGAAGGCATCAGCTGGATTTATTTTTTCATATAAAAAAAAAAGGGAAGGACTCTGTTCACAACTTACTACGGCTTGGTGGGTGATGTGGTCAACATCACGCCGGCCACCTGTATTTCTCAGTATTTTACCTGGTACCAATTTAAGGCTGGGTCTACCTGGGAGCCAAGTTCATTTCTGTGGGGGGAAAAGTCATTCTCGATCACAGCCTGAGCCCACTACTGGATCAGCAGGCAAACATCTAGCCACTACACCACAGCCGCTGCTGGGGGTGTAGTACTGGGTCTAGATTTTTATAGAACAATTAGCACTCGGTGACAGATGTGGACCAGGATCACCAGAACCAAGGGTCTCAGGCATCTGATCCCCCCTCCAACTGATCCACCCTGCATCTGATCCCCCCTCCATCTGATCCACCCTGCATCTGATCCCCCATCCATCTGATCCACCCTGCATCTGATCCACCCTCCATCTGATCTCCCTCCATCTGATCCACCCTGCATCTGATCCACCCTCCCTCTGATCCACCTTTCCCTGCCCCCTACAATAATTTCTAGGTGAGCGGAGACCCCATGCCTCCTTACCCTAGACAATTTTCATAGTCCCCTATCTAGGTATAGCTGTTCTATTTGGAAGCATCTGTTTATGTAAAACAAATAAATGAGTAAAGGACCTTTTCCTCAGCTTCAGACGTACTGGGCAAATAGGGCTAGACCTATATTTTATAGACCAATCAGCACTGGGTAGGTGATGTGTTCAGCATCACGCCAGCCGCCTCTACTTCCCAGGGCTGCACCTGGTACCTACTCAAGGCTGGGTTGACCTGGGAGAGAAGGACATGTCTGAAAATAAAAGTCTAGCTTATTTGTTTATATAGTTTGTATTTTAAAAAAAAATATTGTATTTTTTGCCATTTAGCATTTAATAATAATATTAATAATAAATTTATTTTGATTATATCGCACTTAAATCTTTCAGTCCCATAAGTTTAGTATTAGAGACCTACGGGGTTGTGAAGAAAGACATAAAACCAACACATTTTGCATTTATTGGACTTCTAGGTGGGAACTTATGAGTTCCTTGGGACTGAAAGAGTTAGACAAGGTTTAAGCATCCGCTCCAGATAATCAGGTTTTCATTGTTCTGTGTCTTTGGTGTGGTCAGCATCACACCAGACTCATTTATTTCTCATTACTTCTTCTTTTTATGCATGTCAGTAAGCAGTTATTGCTTAGGAAGAGAGGAGTTAACATAGTCAATATTTCTGGGACTGAAAAAGTTTATTTCACGAGAACTTCGACAGAAAGATTGGTTACTTTTATTCTGTTGCTTAAATTTCTTCGTCATTTACTCTGATTACATTTCATCAGGATGTCAGGGGCAGATGTAAGAATCTTCTGTGTGCTCTATCTAATAAGCTCTTTCTTGCATAAGTTGATCTTTCTTTCTTTGGGGCTGTTCCTGATGCCATCTTTCTATATTTTCCATGGCCTCCCTTTGCTCTCTGTTTATTGTATTTCTCCAGTATAGCTCTCTGGGGTTGTTGGTACCAACACATTCTTGTCATGCGACCAAACCCTCTCATGTAGTAATAGTAATTTTTCAAAAATATCCTGTTCAACCCCCAGGGTTATAATTGGGATATTTAGTGTTCATTTCTCAGAGTATATATTTGCTATTTTTAATTTATATATCTTGTAATTATTTATATGACTAAAATGTAATTTGTATTGTTTCACATTTTGCTTTGATTTAGGTTGTGATTATCATAGAAATTGTACTATGAAAAATTGACACACTTACTAACATTGTGTCATCAATGTGGTGGATATATTGTTTCTTTAGTGTGCAGTCACTGATTATTTCCCTCGATTTTATCTTTAGTCGAAACTTGTTCACAAATGCTATAGGCATTTTTTTCATCTGTTGCTCATTATTATATGATTTGACTGGTTTCAATCCCAGTCCTCTAGTCTAATTTCTTCGTTTCAAATTTTATCTCCTCTTATTACTCTGACAACATTTCTAGACATATCTTCTCTGTTATGTAGGTTATTACTTAAACCACTCTGCAAAATTGTCTTACATAACATCTTTTTTCAGATATACGCATTCCATTGATGTGGAAAGATGTAGACCACTTTAAAAATAAAGGAGGTAATTAAAAATGTCATGTATTTATTATTTATTTTGATGAAGCGTTTTTAAGATTAACAATTTATATCTGCTTCAGAATTGAGAATCTAGATATGTGAATGTAGAGAAGAATATGTCATATTTCACAGATATGAAAAAACAACAAAATAAAGAAGTTTTGTAGAAATTTGCATAAAAAAAGAAAGAAGTAAATTTTTTTTAAGCTCGATCGAAAGACATATCACTGTTATAAGTAACAAACTGCAAGGAAAAGTTGAGGACAAATGAGAAGCAGGTAGACAGCTGTATAAATGGGAGAACATAAAAAAGCGGATGATGAGCAGTCAGTCAGAGTATACAGTCAGACACAGAGTGTTGGAAATTCAGTGCAGCCAACTTTCGTAGTGGCCATATTATCTTTGGAATTACATCAAAGGGTGGCTTGTTTTGAGAATATTGCATGTGAAGATTGTAAAATTAAGAAAATTGAGTTTGTGCAATAATTAGTGGTGTTTTCAATGATTTTTTATTTATTTACATTTTCATAATTCTTTATGTCAATAAATTATCCTGATCTGTTAATTCATAAATTCTTCATATCAAGAAATTATCCTGATCTGTTAATTCATAAATTCTTCATATCAAGAAATTATCCTGATCTGTTAATTCATAAATTCTTCATATCAAGAAATTATCCTGATCTTTTAATTAATAAATTCTTCATATCAAGAAATTATCTTGATTTGTTAATTCATAAATTCTTCATACCAACAAATTATCCTGATCTGTTAATTCATAAATTCTTTATATTAATAAATTATCTTGAGCTGTTAATTAATAAATTCTTTATATCAAAAAATTATCCTGATCTGTTAATTCATAAATTCTTTATATCAACAAATTATCTTGAGCTATTAATATATGACTTTATTTTTTTTCTTCCTCAAATCAGATAATCGCCGATATGCTGTGTTCTGTATGCTGAAAATTGGTACAGATATTTACGATACAACAATGATTAGCGACGTAGACAGAAGCATGACTGACATCACCTTCGAAGATGTTATTCTATTGTAATTATCTATTTTTTAATTCATTTAATCTAGATTACAGAAAAGTACATCATTATCATCATCATGATCGTCATTATCATCATCATCACCACCACTATGGTCATCACCATCACCATCATCATCACCATCACCATCATCATCACCATCATCATCATCATCATCACCATCATCATCATCGGATGTCTTTTCGATTGGCCTGTACAATCCATGCCTCTCAACAACTTGCTTATCAAATCTTACCTAAACCCACAAAGACATGCACTCCAGTAAACATGTTTCCGATGGATTCTTAACTCTTTCAGTTCCTGGGGCTTTAGCATAAGAGACCCAAGGGGTAGTAAAAAGAAACATAATCAGCGCATTTTGCGTTAACTGGTCTTCTGGGTGGGAACCTATGAACATATGATGCTTTCTTTGGGACTGGAAGAGTTTATTATCATCTTTTCTTACTCACCATTACCTTCCTCTGTCTTCCACCCTAGTCTTTAAAACACAAACCATCATTATAAAATTCACATACAGCATTAACAACGTTTCTTAAAACATACACTAGTCAATATATTTAGCTTCAGTGAGTTCTTGAGAGGGCTAGATGCTCACCTACCAGTCCGAAGGTCACAGGTTTGATTCTGCATCCAGTCAGATTTTGTTTCAAAATTGACTTTGTCTCCCGTGTCACTCGAGCCTAAAGTGAGCACCAGGTATTGTCCTGAGAAGTAAAGAAGCCTGTCTAGTGTTGACCTCCTATTCCATTGAGTGCTGATTAGTCTCTAAAAATATCTCTTCTCCTTATTCTTGGCTTTCACTGGCTGTAAACTCTGGCAGAAAGCTCTGGTTGTTTGTCCTCTTCTGGACTTTAGTCTAGTTCCAGAATGTGAGTTTTTGTGTGCACATTGATTTCACAGAGCAGGTTTATTTGTATGCAGACTATTGGTTCCTTACCTTTCAGACAGATGCACTCTGACATTGAAGGAAACATCCCAAATTAGTTGACTTTTTGACATTGGGGGGGGGGGGGCAGTGTGTCTATTCCACCCCCCCCCCCCCCCCCCCCACTCCTTACAAATGGGTTCTCAGAACCTACACCGGGGTCTAAAAAAATCATCATATGCCAGATGTGCTGTTGGTGTCTGAGGGTCCTTTACTGTAAATTAATGGGGGGGGGGGGGGGTCTCTCGCCACAGCAAGATGGTTATTAAGCTTTTTGCCTCTTGCTCTTAAGGTTGTGGGGTTAAGTTTAGGATTCTGTCCTTTGTGTTTGAAAGTGTTTTAGAGATCTATGGAAGTCATTGCTGGAGCTACAGTGTTTGTGCTTTGTGCAACACTTTAGCATACTACCAACTGCTCTGCAGAGGGAGACTGGAGTGACTGGATATAACACAGTGCAATGAATTTGCTGTTCTTCCAGTTGAATACTCTTTTATATCTTAAATCGTATAAAGTTAGCATTTATACAGTTTAAAAGCTGTTGAAGTTTCGATGTGAATTAAATAAATTAAGTGTTTAATTTACTCGAAATTTCTCATGTGGGTTTCAGGGTCCCATTGTGTGTGTGTTTGGGGGGGGGGGGCGGGGGGTTTGGGGGAGGGGGAGAATAGACCCACTGCCAACACACCCCCACCAACAAATGTTGTAAAAGTCATGTAATTAGGAGTATTTCCTTTAAAATTGATTGTATCTGCCTGAAAGAGAAGAATCAAAAATAAACCTGCTCTGTAAAAAAGATGTGCACACACAACTCAAGTTCTGGAACTAGTCTTAAGTCCAGAAGTGGACACAAAACCAGAACTTTCTGCTGGAGTTTACAGCTTGTTAGCACCAAGAAGGTTGAATGTTGAACTAAGAATCGACATAATAGCACTTGGGACACTCCCATAAGCACTTCATCCCAATCGTCAGCAGCAAACAAAGAGTTCCAATTCAAGTGGCACCAGTAACTGCCTGATTATATATCCATCTTGCCTTTTCCTTGGGTGTTGAGCATCGGCCAGATCCCCTGTTAACTCTTTGCACAGCCATTCTCCTCAGACCATAATGATCTATCAAATCATGAAGAAGAAAAAGATTTGAAATAAAAAAATTCAGTTCTGATTTAGTATTTTGTATATCCATATTTGAGACATGTTGTGATTCTGCTTACTGATTTATGTGATTGTGTTTATTGATTGATCTGCCTTCAGTGATGATGTCACACATGAATTTGAGATGAAGCTGGAAGTGTACTGTCACAAACAGCATGAAGATTTATCTGTAGCTCACACTCCCAAGAAGATTCGTAAGAAAATTCATGATATTTCAGGATCTGTTGGTCGGAATGTGGGCAAGAGATTATCCAGTTTGGTAAGTTTAATAGTTGTGCAACTTTAACAGAGCATTGCAAACCAACTTCAGATTTTGTTGGCTGTTTATGGTTTTTACTTTTAACATTTAGTAGTTTGCCATTGCTTTCTGAATTTTCAGTACTATCGTCAAAATCAGTGAAAAGAATTTGGCAAGACTGTATTTTATTTTCATTTCAAAGCCCATTGCGAAAAGTTGCTTTTATCACAGTCCACACAAAAAGTATCTGAAGTTAAAGTTGCGTTTATACATTCCCATAAGTGACCAATTCCCATTTTTAACAGCTCTTCTGCTTGATGCATTTTCATGCAAAATCCTTCTTATAAGACAGCTGATCTGTTAGGTTTTTTCTACCAAAATAGGACCCAAAACCCACATAGGGAGCTTGAGTATTTAATTTTAAAAGATGTTAAATCTACCAAATTGCATGTTAGAATGTTTAGCCAGATTTTCTCAGCATCTTCATGTTATCCATATACGTATGGCAAAGAATGCTAATTTGTCACCGCTAATCAAGATTGTAGTAGTCTGAATTGGATTGGTTCTGTATTATTCTGGTAGACTTTGATAATACTTAATTTTTTTCTTAGAGTGTACAAGATTTGTTATTTTATTGTTCAAAGTATCCATCTTTTTCATCATAAAAGCTACAGTTAAGAGAGGATTTATTTAAAGTAGGGGCGAAATATACATTAAAATTAATTGTTGTAAATGGGAAGAGAGGATGGGGGGGGGGGGGGCTGCAGTCAAGCGAATACCAAGAAATTAATCCAGTGAACTTTGACTAAAGTTAAACTTGTTAGTCAAAGTTCACTGGATTAATTAAATTAATCACAGCATTGTAAGATCTTATACTTGTGGTAAGTGTTTATGATTGAAAACAACAATCTGTAAAGACTTGATGTTTTATCTTTGTATATTTGTGTTTTTAGAATGATGCAGACGTGGTCGGAAACATGGGACCAAAGTTTGATCTCGTTGCCAAAGGATCATTGTGTCTTGCTGATGTCAATAACAGTGTCAGAACTTTTGACCTTCAGTTGGAGAATAACACAGGTTGACAATTTTATATTGTGTTACATTAACCTAAGACTGTTGTTATTGTTTAATGGATTATAGAAATCTTACAGTTAGAACTTCCACTCCTTTTTCCTATGCAAATTTGACATGAGTACAGGTCAGATTGTACTCTGTGTGGGTGTGTGTGCAGGGGTATGTATGTGAGAGAGAGGGAGAGAGAGGCAGGCAGGTGGGCATGTAGACAGACAGACAGACACAAAAATGTTACTGGTACCATTAAAATGAAACCCTTCACTGGCTGATGGGGACAGAGCATGTATAGAAATGTCCTGAGCGCTGTTATGTTCAATTTTGACCTTACTCAAATGGATGTTGGTCATGTTTCCTTCTCATGAGGTGACCAAACCATTTTATCATGCATTGAGATATACTGAAATGTTTTGTGAAGCCTTAGCTCATTACATCCAATGTTAGAAAACACTTTTTGGAAGGAATTTGCTTCCCCAAACATTTGTCACCTAGTCTATCAAGAGGTATGTGTCCCTTTTTGTCTCATCACACTTTCTTGACTAGTGAAACATGGTATGCTCTATTTGTAGCTAAGCTAATCATATACATTGAAACACACAAGCTCCTCTGCCACTTTATAATGTTGGCACTTGAGAGAGGCAAACTCTTTTATTAGTAGTCATTTGATGAAAGTATTGCATGATGTTACAATAAACCTAGTGATGTTCAACCTCACCAGCACTGCACAATAAGCAATTAACACCTAGTGACACAAAGTGCCACCATTCAGATGAGAATCCACCAGGCATAAGTCCCAGAAATGCCGTTCAACCATTTGGTTATATTAAAGCCCCTGACAACAGGGGTGAGGCTTTAAAATAAAAATTGAGCCCCATATTGGGACCGAATTTTTGATTCAACTAGAGAACATCATTTCACATCCTTTGTTCTTCAGAAAATTCAAGCAGCTTCTCAAGAGTGTAAACTATTTTTTGACATGTTTGCCCTGTTAGGATGTTAAATAGAGACATTAACGGCAGTAATACTTACTCACTTAGTTGCTTCTCTTCTACCTTAGGGTGTAGAGGTTTCTAACAGCAGTTTTTGGTGCTTTCTCAATATCCTATCCCAAACAATAGAAATCCATAGGTCACGGGGCAGTCTAATATTTTAGGCGGTGGTAGATAGGCTGCATGCAGTCGTGGGACCTAGGCTGCACTCTCTTGTGGGATGTAGGTGGGTTGGGGTTAGGGCCAGTTCTAGATGTTTTAGTGTCGTTAAAAGCATCAGAAAGCCGGAAAACAAAGTCTTACCACCCTCTAAAATGTCAGACTGTCATGTGACGTAATCTGGGGTAGGATATTGCAAAAGAGCCCAGTTTTCCTTCTGGCTTTGTTCCATTCCAGTCCTCTGTCAGTCAGGGACTGTCAGATGTTGTTTTCCCAGCGGACTCTGGGTCACCAATAGCAGTAATACTGAACCAGTACTATGCACTAATATTAAACGAATATTATGCAGTAATACTGAACCCCCTCCCCCCATCCCAAAACAAACATTATTTATGAAACTGGTTTCCTCTCCAGATGGTCAGGTTCATGAACTTCCTCTTTTTGGTCATTATTGTTGCCGCTTAGCTGCACTTCCACATTGTCTCACCCAGCCTGCAATGACTGGTTTTCTTAATTTGCAGGTGAGTAGTGTTTGACAGATTATGTTTTCTTCTTTCCTGTATACAGTAAAACCTTATTAACACAAATTCCAAGGGACCTAAACATGAAGAGGTAACGTTAAAAAAACCAGTTTGTGATTACCAGGGACTAACAGATATATTATGAATTATATGTCCCTGCTAGGACCAAAATTGTGTTCATGTTAACTGAGAGTTTGACTAAAGCAAGCTCATGTTATGTTGAATGTTGAATTAAGAATCAACACATCATATCACTCTGGACACGCCCAGCAGCAAACAAAGAGTTCCAATTCTGATTCCACCAGTAACTGTCTGATTGTATATCCATCTCACCTTTCCCTTGAGTGTCAAGCATCGACCAGATATCCTGGTAACTCTATGCAGTGCCATTCTCCTCAAACCATAATGATCTATCAGTTGCAAAATTAAAGAAATAGCACTAGAAGCCTATTAGGCATGATTACTGGGCGACCATTACTGCTCTCAGATACTGTCTTAAAGAGTTAGGCATGATTTTGAACAAAATTAAAATAAATAGTTTTCTTATGAAATGAACAAAACAATTTTATCCTTAAGTAAATACTAAGACTACAAATAGAAGATAAGAATTATATAAAAGTTAAACTAATCAAAATTATAATTATTAATATATTTGGCATAAAGTTGGACACAATTTCAAGGACAAGTTTTCTTATTAGATGAACAGTGTCATTCTGAAGTATTGTTAAAATTAAAAATAAACTTTAAGGGAGATTTTAAAAAATGTACATATGAGGAAATATATTTGAGAAAACTGGGATGAATTTTATCAGTAAATAATCTCAAAGCAAAAGGTTTTATACCATCTTACACTGAGAGTAAAATATGGCAAGCAAAATGAGAGACAAGACAAATAATAGGTGAAAGTTAAAACAAATGAAAAAGAGTTGTTATAAAAATACCTAAAACTACATTTTTGTATGAATATGACATGTGTAAAGAAGCATAAAGAAATAATTAACATACAATGTTGGTAATATCATCATCATCATCAGGTGCCTTGCCGACTGGCATGGGCGATCATGCCTCTCTATAATCTGCGATCTCCTGCAGCATGTATCAGTTTGTGTGCGTACACACCTCCATGCCTTGCAACAAGACTGTCAAGAATCTTCTCTCATTGTCTTCCTCTATCCCTCCTTCCACAGATCTTTCCAGTGATCACAACATGTTCTATTTTCCCTCTTCTCAAAACATGACCAAAAAATGATGACTGACTCCTTCTGATGTCTGTGATAAGTTGTCATCGGGCTCCCGCCTCTTTCAAAACCTCTTGGTTGCTCTTTTTGGCTGTCCAAGGTATTCTAAGCATTCTTCTGTAAAACCACATCTCTGAGGCCTCAAAAAAATGTTTGGCCTGCCTACCGATTGTCGAGGATTCACAGCCATATTTTAAAACTGGATGTATGTAGCAAGCAAGAATTCCTTTTCTAACTCAATGACAAGGAAATATTGCACAAGATATTCTTCATTTTATAAAATGCAGTTTTTGCCTGTCCTATTCTGTTTCTTATATCAGTGGTAATATCAGGGTGGGGAAAAAGGACTTTGCAGTCAGTGTTCATGTTTTGTTGATGATTGAAGACCTAACTTCTCAACCAATGCAAGTATTTTAACCCTTTTGTCCTGAGAAGGCTAAATCTGGTCACTACCGTTTTTAAAACAGACCTGTAAATGCCAATATATGGCCATTTCTGCAGTGACCTCGTCTACAAAAACGTAATTAATGGCTATTAGTTATAATGTGCAAGATGCAGTGTTTCATAACCCAGGATATGAATACAGTAACTAAAAATAGAAATTGGGGGGGGGGGGGAGGGTTTCTTATGACCCCAATGGCTTTGTTAAAAACCAGGTTGATGTAAAATGTTCCTGTAAACCTCAGTGATGGAGGTCACAGGGGCATGGTATGAGTATTTGTTACACATTATTTTTTTAGACCCTATTTAATGCTTCACTTTGTATATGTTTATTGGTTACTAATTTAAAATGTATATATATATATATATATATATATATATATATATCTATATATATATATATATATATATATATATATATATATATATATATATATATATATATATATATATATATATATAGATATATAAATGTTTTTTTAATGTAAATAGATAAATAATTTAGAAAAAAAAAAATAATTAGTGACTTACGAACAATTGTTATTTTTGTAAGGATTTTTTCCCCTAGAAATGATCCATTTTTTGTAGCATTCATGGGGAATAAGGGTTAATCTATGCAGAACAAAATGTTTTTCATTCATTATTTTAATTTCTCTAGGAAGATGATGATCTGTCCAAGTGGAAGCGTTACTGGTGTTGTCTAAAAAACCTTCAGCTGGCCTGCTGGTCAAGTCCTGACGACACTGAAATTGCCCAGCCTCTGCTAATGATACCAGTAACAAAAGTATGTAGCTGTTTCTTTATGTGACTGCTTAAGCAGAAAAATCTGTGATATATAATAATTTAAGAGGTGAAAAGAACAGTTTGGACACCGCCAACTGGTGGAGGACAAGATGACACCATGAAAGACTTAATAATAACAAAAATACTCTTCCCTTTTTTCTGTTGTCATCACACTGTTACTAGGTCATAGCCCAATGTCATGATTTCTTGTTATTGTCTGGCATTTCTCTGGTGGCCTAAGTGAAGGATTTATTAATCATTTTGCAGGTATCAGCTACACCGTCTATCCATATCTTCTGTTGTGTTCTGCTGTAGAAGGTCTAATTTACAGTTTTAGACCAGCTGCATTTATGCTAGATTTCTAAACCACTTCTTTCTCTGTCTAGCAGAGGATCTCGGAGTGTCCCCAGAGATACAGTGTCTAGAAATCCTGTGGCATTCATCAACCCAATGCCACTGAATAAGTTGTATCAAAACTCAGACCCTGGTACAAAGCCAGTCTAACTGGATGACCAACGACTTTCTGCCAGAGCTTGCAGCTGTTGAAGAAAGAAGAAAGAAGAAGAAAATTCATTTGGAACATAAGTATTGCCAGCTGGCCAAATATCCCACTAACTGACAAACCTTTATTCAGAATGACTGATAGTCCACTGAATAGCTACTTAGGCTCAAATTTCTGGCAGCCAAGTGTCCCTTTAGCAAAACAGCAACATTTCAGATGACTTACCATCAAATGTCCTACTGTTTGACATAACAAGTAAGCCACTTTTGGCCCCATTTGTTGGAGTGTCAGGACTATAAGTGGAAAATATGTATGATGCATGTTTTTGCTCAGCTATCATGGTAAATGTTCCAACTAAATGAAAGGTGTCTAATGTGTTGTAGAAGATTCGATGCAGTTACTTTAGCTATGCTGTTCAGGCAAAACAAAAATTACATCATTTGGATAAACAAAGAGGAAAAAAAATGAAAGTGAAAAAAACAAAAAACACTATGCATCCCAATTATAATCCAGACGGATGAAGACGATATCTGTTGTGTGCGGATATGCACTAGAACGCACCAGTACTGAGTGAGCAAATAGGACATCAAAACAATATGTAATGTTGTTATGGGATTGTATTCTAGGAGATGAAAGTCAAAGTTTGACCAAGGCGGACGTGTTGTCCGGCCTTGGTGTGGATCCTTGAGGATGCTTTACCCCGGGATGCCACTGAAGAAATGGTAATCAAAGTTGGATCCTTGAGGACGCTCTACCCCGGGACTCCATTATAAACCTCTGCAGAAAGTTGGCATATTGTCTACTACGTTCGGCAGTAAGCCGGTATACTTATATTACCTTGTTCAGACTGCAAAAGAGAAAATCGAGATGACTGTCCGGATTTCCAAGGTCGGACTGAGATCGATGTGATTGTCCGGATTCAAGGTCGGGCTGCGACTCGTCATTTATTAGGAAGTCAGTTGATGTACGAGTGGGCTCGGTTGGTGTGTTTGGATTATTAATTGCACATTTTTTCCTTCTGTTGATCCATTGCTATTGTCAATACAACAATGGAACCTTTTGAGAGAGTTATCGCTCAACTATGTTTGTTTGGAAGCCTTTAACCTTCATCATGTTCTGTTACACTTGGCCGCTGGCATAGTTGTTGATGCCGTTTGTTACATTAACGTCCCCCTAATTCATCTTTGGTACACCGCACATCAGCATGAAGCCGCCTCACGTCACAATATCGTTTTTTAAATGACTACTTATCTACATAAAGAGTAATATGTATAGTAGCCAACAAACATAATTAGTTGCTTGGTAGGGAATTAAATAATATATGAGAAAAGCTTAAGATAAAATCAATAGAATGTTCCTGGGATCTTTAACACTCTTAACTCTTTTAGTACCAGGTAAATTACTAATCTAGTGCCTACCAATACATTTATTCCCTTCCCTTTAGAACACACAGATTTGTGATGCTGACCCAAGCACCAGCAAACGACCACATTCATTTTTAATCAGAACGGTGAATATACATGGCATCTTTGACCACACTTTAGCAGCTGACACCAAACAAGAGTTGAATCAATGGTGGGATGGGTTCCAGCAGCATCTTCTTGACCAAGGTAGGCACATTTAAAGGATTTCTTTTTTCCTGAAGATGTCATGTAAAAATGTTTATGGATTTTCATTTCAATAACCCTGCAACTGTCAAGTGCATTTCTTCCACCATATTATTACTGTTTTTCAGATTTTGAAGATTAAATCTAAGGTCTTATATTTAGACATAATAAAATAGCAAATTTGTTAGTTTGTTTGCCTGACAAGCATTGCTGTTCTTAATGTATGAGCCTGCTGGGCACTTTGTCTGAAGGCCCCTCCATTTTAGGTGCCTCATGTTAATCTGTGTATGTAAAGTGAGTGGTTGTCATAGGGGCCCCATGTTAATCTGCGGATGTCAAGGGAGTGGTTGTCATAGGGGCCCCATGTTAATCTGTGTATGTCAGGTGAGTGGTTGTCATAGGGGCCCCATGTTAATCTGTGTATGTCAGGTGAGTGGTTGTCATAGGGCCCTATTTTTATCTGCATATGTTGAGTGAAGGTTATCATAGTGGCCTCATGTTAATCTGTGTATGTCAAGGGAGTGGTTGTCATAGTGGCCTCATGTTAATCTGTGTATGTCAAGGGAGTGGTTGTCATAGGGGCCTCATGTTAATCTGTGTATGTCAAGGGAGTGGTTGTCATAGGGGCCTCATGTTAATCTGTATATGTCAAGGGAGTGGTTGTCATAGGGGCCCTATGTTTATCTGTGTATGTTGAGTGAGTGGTTATAGGGGCCTCATGTTAATCTGTGTATGTTGAGTGAGTGGTTATAGGGGCCCCATGTTAATCTGTGTATGTCAAGTGAGTGGTTGTCATAGGGGCGCCATGTTAATCTGTGTATGTTGAGTGAGTGGTTTTCATAAGGGCGCCATGATAATCTGTGTATGTCAAGTGAGGGGTTGTCATAAGAGCCCCAACACACTTGTTTTTCCAGGGGTCCATTATGCTGTTAAGACAGCTGTGCTGCTGACTGTGCTCTGAGCTCAGTCCTCAAAAGTGGCAAAGATATTGCCTATCTGTAGACTTATAAAAATGGGTACCAAACAAATTTGAGAAATGGCTAGAAATGGTAAAAAAAAAAAAATTAAAAAAAAAAAATGGATGAGATAAAAAGTGGCCACCCCACCCCACTTGTCATGGCCTAACAAGTCTGAAGGCCTAAGTCTTCACAGCCCAAAAGCAGTATTTGCTAAGGAACAACTTTTACCTTCCATTTTGATGTTGACCACATCACCCATCAACTGCCATTTGTCATGTAAACAAGGGTGTCGCTAGGGTATTTGGCACCCATGGCAACCAGGGGTATTTTGGCGCCCATGGCAACCAGGGGTATTTGGCACCCATGGCAACCAGGGGTATTTGGCAGCCATGGCAACCAGGGGTATTTGGCAACCATGGCAACCAGGGGTATTTGGCGCCCATGAGAGGGGTGTTGGAGTTGGGTGTTGTCATTTTTTTTTTAATGTGCTTTAGCCATTGCTCAATTTTGGGCTAATTTTAGAGACATTGTAGTGCATACTTAGGAAGCCTGTTTTTTTTTATTTCTCCTTGATGTTGATGGATTGTTATTGTCTGGACAAGAAACTAAACCAGAAGTGTAAAAAAAAAAAAAAACCTGACATAGCCTTTGCAAATAAAATTGCATCCCACAAGGGGGATGACTGCTGCAATGATATAATTGAGTTCTTCAGGTTGTGCTAACTTTAAGTTGGTATGACATGACAGCAACATTCTGCAGTGTAAAATCTCCAAATAGCTGTTGCCAGTCAATATCAGAGCTGTAAAGTTCACATAAACTTTCACACTTCTGGTTTAGTTTCTTGTCCAGACAATAACAATCCATCAACATCAAGGAGAAATCCAATCTTTGCATCTAAGTCATGCAAACACGTATACCTTTTGGCCATTTCTCTGTGAAACAGAGTGACAGTCGAGTGTTACCTTCATGACCCTAACAATTTCCTTTTTCTCCATTAACCCAGCATAAATTTAGTTCTCACCAGCCATTTCTTATGTCTCTGATGCTCTGACTTCTTCTTTTGTCCTACTTCTTATGTCACAAAGCATCACAGAGACAGGTTATAAGTAGTTTCCTGTCTTTTGCTAGTCGCATAGCTTGTGTAAATGTCCTAACACGTTTCTATAGTGTCTCTTTTACTTTTTCCACCCATCTCTTTTTTGGTCAGCATCTTGGCTTTGTAGCCTGCTGTTCTGATATAACAGGCTCCAGCTGCTGGCTGATTTTGTTCTATTTTGATCAGATGACCAAATCATTGGATTCTTTGATGTTTTATGAAAACAACCACTTGTAGTGTGCCTAATATTGGTTTTAGTTCTTTATTGGTGACCTTGTCTCGTCTCACATTTCTTATACATCTCATCTCACATGTTGCAATTTTGCGTTTATGGTTTTCTAGGACTATACATGTCTGCTGTTAATAGTGCAAAGTTGGTACGAATAGCGTATTCATCAGCTACTTTTTGAGTGTGCATACTGATATTTTGATGCCTCAAAAGTGGCGCCTTCTGTATTCTGTTATCTATTTCTCTATCGGGTCCTCTCTTAAAACACTACCAAGGTACTGAAACTCCTTAGTATTTTTTAATGTCTTTCCTTCAACACAAGAACAGGGGTTAGTATATTAAATGTTAATGCCCGGCTCGCTAGCGTAGTTGGCTAAACCTGACTGCGCGGCGACCAGGTGACAAACTCCTTGTGGTCCGGGTTCACTCTCAGGGGTAGGCAAAAAAGCCACATTCCTCCAAGATTTATGGCATCTATCATGGAATCAAGGCCGAAGGGTTGTGATATCCATAATACCGAGCCAAAGGGTTAACAACTCATGGTTTCTGGATACTTAAAAAAAAAAAATAATAAGAGAATATCTTTTGAAAGTATTTTAGATAAAGAATATTATTGTTTAAGAGCTGTTTAGCATTATTTATGACAGAAAAACTAAGTAACATTCAGTTTATAACTCATTTTCCACTATCAGTACCCTTCCCCCGGCCCCCTTTTTTTTTTAACTTTTTAGGATTGATCTGAATGTGTTTAGCAGAATATGTAAATTTAATTATTTCATTAATGTATAGTTTATGGGTTGTATTTATTTACCTTCTATTAAGACTTATTTTCTTTCATTTGTTTCATTTATTAAATTTTTGTATATGATCTGTATTATGCAAACAATTGATCTGTTATTGAATATTTCAGCTTTGTGGAAACATGCCTGTGACGAGCAGATGGACTTGAAAATTCCTAAAAAACAGAAAGGATCTTCATTTGTGAGAAAAAGCTCCATATACGAAGAAACTCCACTTATAGGTGAGGTTCTCTAGAATTATAGATTATATTCTTTCAAATTAGGTTTTATAATTCTAGGATGGTAATGGTAAACATTCTGGCTAGAAAAATATTATAAAGACTTTTTTTTAGTTGTATTTATGTCTGTCTTTTCCTCTTGAGGCTACAGAGATTTGGTTTGAAAGGAAAATGCTTTAAATATATTTGATAGCTAAAAATGATTAATCTAAATATTTTAAAAGAGGCAAAGACCCAAAGACAACTTACCAAAAACATCTGAAAGAGCTAATCATCATTTTTGGCTATGTTGTGAAAATGAAAGTGGAACATGTTGTCACAACAGGAAAGATTTATGGAAAGAAAAATATTTGAAGGCAGCATGAGAAGATTGTTGACAGCCTTTTGTCATGGCTTTAAGGGGTGTTGACACATGAGCTGGAGACCGCAGGTTGTAGAAAGGCATGATTGCTCATGCCAGTTAGCAAGACTCTTTATGATGATGCTGTCCTTTTTTTTTCTCATCATATTGATTACTTTTCTGTGGAATAATTTTTTCTTTTTTTAAAGCAATTTTTTGTTAATTCATTAGTTGATAAAGACTGGCTGAAACTTATGCTTGTTGTCATGGGCAGGGCTATTCAACTGTGGCCCTCTGGCACACAGAGGCTTGCAAGTGGTCAGCAAATCACCTGCCAGTTTGTATTGTTTAAATGATCTTTCTATGCTGGGGCTCAGGCCTTTGACCCACCACAATCCCCATTCGCCAACATTTTGGCCCCTGTATAAACCTAATTGAATGACCTTTTATAAGATCTTTCCTTCTGCTTAGCTATTTAGCTACATTTTCTGTTCATTAAAAATTTTTTTTTTTAGTTAGAGTTATCAAGAGGATTATCTTCATTGCACCAGATTCCTGGGTTCCTGAGCCCCATTATGGTGGAAAAGGGGCTGAGGAAGAATAAACCTGCTGCCCCCTTTCTCCCCAAACAAGCATACTGTAAAAGCCCTCTAATTAGGGATGTTTTCTTTGAAATGGGAGTGCATCTGCTTAAGAGGTGAGGAACCAGCAGTTTGTATACAAGTTAGCCAGACCTGTAAAATGGTTGTGTAAGCAAAAAATTCAAGTTCTAGAATAAAACCAAAGTTCACAGAAGTAGGCGAACAATCAGAACCTTTTGCCAGAGTTTAAAACCTTGAACACAAAGAAAAAAAAAAGATTGCACCACATTTTATACCAAACAGCTTGGTCTCTTTCTGCAGAACAGCTAGCTGTTAACTGAGAATGTCACATGAAGAAGGAACTTCGTAGCTCCTGTGACAATCCACACAAAAATAAACTATGAAGTGATCAGCTCAGTCAACGACAAAAGCCAATGACCTTCTGAGCATGAGGCAATGGTGTAACCACTTAGCAACTGGCGGTGTCCATGGCTTAGGCGTTGCGAGTCCGACTTATAATCCAGCGTACCACGATCGAAACCCACAGCTGGCTGCGTGGATTTTTATCATGGTATGGGGCATCGCAGGTCGACCCAGCCTAAAATGGGTTCCAGGATGGGCTGTCCTGGGAAAGTAAAGACAGCCGGCGTAATGCTGACCACATTACCCACCGGGTGCTGATGGTCTGTAAAAATATGGGAGCTCTTACCATATGCCCGATACGCCTAAAGGCGTGGAAAGGGATCTTTACTTTTTTTTATTTTTTTTTATTTAGCAACTGAGACCACTTTAAAAATCTACTAACCAATGTCTCTGCATAAGTTGAATTTTTGTAACATTAGATCCAGAATACGTTCAGCATCTTTGTTTTCTTTTTATGACATTTAGTCTGCATGTTTCTTTATTTCTCACAGAACCAGACAGCAATAGTGATAGCATTGTGCGTGATCTGGGCAATGACCAGTTGACACAGATGCTGCATACACTTATGGGAGAAGCTAGTCAGATCAGGGGAGGAACTTCATCGCAGCCATAGAACAACGCATAGCAATGTTATCTTTCTTCTGTAGACATCTTCACCATTGTCTATATAATTTGCATTTATCATTTTTCGTGTGTGTGATTCTTCCATGCTTACCTTAAAACTGTTTTAACAACCAAAGTTAATGTGACAATATATTGAATTAGAATCTGTTTTAAAGATTAGAGTTCTGGTTTTTTAATGTAAAAATTTCCCTATGTGGGTTCTGGAGCCTCATTTTGAGGGGAAAGAATAAACCTATTGTCTCCCCTACAAGCAAGATACCTATTAGGAGTGTTTCCTTCAAGCTGTTCTCCTCCTATGATGCATTAAATTCTTACGTCCTTTTTAGGATGTATTTTTTTGTTATTTGAAGCCCCACCCTGGCTTTTGCTAAGGGCCGCAATATAGGCAGGCCATAAATATGGCCAATTGTCTGAACGCGGTTTCTGGGACCTCTCCACGGTGATCCTCATCCACATGGTGGCACTTTGTGTCATCGGGTGTTTATCGCTTGTGTGATGTCCTGGTGGGGTAGAGAGTCAGTCAGTCAAGCTGTTCTGGAACAAGACCAAGTCCAGAAGTGGGCAGACAACCAAAATTCTCCACTGGAGTTTTACAACCAGCGAACACTAAGAAAAACAAGTAAAAAAGAAGAATATTGTAACATGCTGAATTAACCCTGGGCCAGTGTGTGGTATTGACAGGACTGACTAACTGACTGACTGACTTTCTACCCCAATAGAACATCACACAAGTGATACACACCCGATGACACAAAGTGCCACCATTTGGATGAGGATCGCAATGGAGAGGTCCGAGAAACCGCATTCAGACAATTGGCCATTTTATGGCTTGCCTATATTGCAGCCCCTGGAAAAAGCAAGGGTGGGGCTTCAAATAAAAAAAAAATTTCATCCTAAAAAGGACAAAACTGGATTAAGATAAGTGTAATGTCAGGATTAAAAATTAAGGAAAATGTGTGGTCCTAGTTCTGTACTTATTGTGTGCTTTCAATTTTCATTAATGTTGAGATTATATTTTTTTAGTTTAGAACAGATCTAGGACTGACCTAAATTCTTTCAGTGGCAACTAATCATGTTTTTAACACAGGAGAGGTTACCACAGATAATGTTTACCCATTACAAGCTGTAATAATCCTTTCACCCTATGAATGCTAACAAAAAATGATGATGAACTCAAGAGAATTAAAAAAAAAAAACCTGTTTTAAAAAAAAAGACTTTTTTACACAGGTAACCAATAAATTGTTAAAAAATTTATTGATCTACATATTTAAACACTTTTTCTTCACAATATATAAAGACATATGTAAATGAAGTAATCAGTAAACAAAAACAGAGTTAAGCAATAAATGGAGTATATTTCCTGGGCCTAAAACACATATGTATTGGGTGACTGGCACCATGACTCCTTGACTTCTATCATTGAGTCTAACAAGAAAATGGCAAGTCAACTTGGCTTTAAAAACCTATTGGATTTACAAGGAAGCCCCACTAAATGTGGTATTTAGTTAATAAATTTTCATTCGGGTCTTCTATACACTATGCATATGCACACAGAACCAGTGACATTTAACTACGCTTTTCAAGAACAGGTCACTGCAGAAATGGTGATATTTCAACAGTAATGAGGCTTAGATAACCGAAAGTGGCTAGATTTAGCCTTCTCAGCAATGGGGTTGAGGGCTAATATTTCACAACTGAATGGCTAATTCTGCTACCTTGGTATCTCTACTACAAATCTTTGCTCATACAGGCCAGCAAAGTACATTTGGGTAGTACTTAGTGTAGCTGTTATAGAGCCCTAGTTATAACTTCATTAGGAGTTTTAGTGAGGTATCTTTATTCCATATTGTAACCCCAATGTGACTGTTTGAGTTGCAGGAATGTCAAACCGTCAGACAGCAGTATTGAGATGAACAAACAAACTTTATTTTCAGTGGGTCACAAATTAGGTAGTAGGCCTTAAAAGTGTGATACACATTTTTTTTTCAAGTATCCAGAAACCATGAGTTGGTAACCCTTGGGCTTGGTACGATGGATATTGCAACCCTTCAGCCTTGATTACATGATGGATACCGTAAATCTGGGAGAGGTGTGGCTTTTCTGCTTACCCCCAGAGCTGAACCCGGACCACAAGGAGTTTGTCACCTGGTCCTCGCGCAGTCATGTTTAACCAACTGTGCTAGCGAGTCGGGCGTGATACAAATTAAAATAACTGTGCCATTGTCTTGTAACCTGTCAGTATTGTTGTTAAGGATCTCAAAAGTGTTATGTATGTAAACATAATGGTGCAGATAAATGTGGTAACCCATAATGACAGGTTCAAGATGGCCACTCCACTTCTGATATGCACCAAAGAGGAACAATGTTCTTTTATCCGTTTTTTTTTAAAAATAAGTGAAGGGGTGTAACTATAGAAATTCATCAGTGAATGAAGGTTTTTTGTTTGGTGCCATCATATCAGTCCAGCAAGTATATAAGTGGAGTAGAAAGTTTCAAAACGGTGTGACTTCTTTGACAAACTATGCCTGACTCTGTCAGTTGATCTTTCCACTCATCATGATGTTCTCTGATGCCTCTTTTTTCATCACATGACCGAAGAACACTGATTACCACTTTCTTCTTCTTCTTCTTCTTTTTCTTTTCTCTACTCTTGCAATGCCTCATGGCGTCAGGGGAGCAAGAGATCTATAAAACAGGCCATTCTGTTTGCTTCATATATAGTACTTGTCAGTGTTTCTGATATTTCTGCGGTCCATCTTCTGCATGGTCGACCTCAGGGTCTGTTACCATTGCATCTGTATAATATTGCTCTCTGCTGCCACTCTTGTTACGTTGATTTGATTTGTTGTCTACCTTACTTTCTTTTAATTGTTTATATATAGTTTTCTATATTCATTAGCAAATTCCAGGCAGCTGTTTGTCACTCTGGCTGTCCACATTATCTACAGCATGTGTCTCAGAAAACACATCTCCATGGCCTCCAAGTTCTTATTTATTTGTTCATTCACAGTTCAAGATTCACAGCCAAACATTAGCACTGGTTCAACATAAGATTTTAGTAAAAAGTAAAAAAGTAAAGATCCCTTTTCACGCCTTTTCGCATATCGGGCATATAGGAAAAGCACCCATATTTTTACAGATCATTTGTGATCTATGACCTTTCATCTCCCTTGTGTATACAGTTTTTACCTCTCTGCCATTTGACACTCTCCCCCACACAGGTAGAAAAATACTGGCTTATACATTGATGTATTTTCAGGAGGAAAGGCAGAGAAGTCGGGGGGTAGGGGAGATAGAAAGAAGGAAGGGTGAGGAAGGGAGAATGCTGGGCAGTTTTGCTTTGTGGCTTGAAAGAACATCTATTTCTGATTTGATTAGCTAGCTAAAGATGAGACAGAAGGCTGTGGACAGAAATGATTGCTAACATTTCACAGCATGCACTGTTAGAAGAAAAAGAGAAACAAGTTTTGTTAACTCAAAGGTAGTTAAATAGTTTGCCAGGGGATGCCCAATCGGTCTATAAAATATAGGTCTAGCTCTATCTGTCCAGAATAGTTTGGTTGTTATAATATGTGTATGTTGTAAAGTACTGCTTTTACCATTCCAGCTCTCTTTGTGATATCTGTTGCTCATCTGCCATCATCTTTCTGTTATTAAGTAACCAAGACAGGGAAAAACTTTTGTTTTGTACTTTTCCTATTTATTTATATTTTTAACTTTTTAAATGACGATAACAAACTATAAAATTGATAATTCTATACCATAAAGAGTGTTAAAATACTATTTAGAACCTGTGTTGTTATATACATGTGAAATATGGACAATAAGTAGACAAGCTACATCTACTCGCAGGGGAGATGTGGTTTTTGAGAAGAATACAAAAAAATATAATAGATGATAGGAGAACAAATGAGGCCAAGACAGAGACAGATGAAGCTAAGACAAAGACAAATGTAAGTCGTAACTGATTAGATAAATTAGACGTAGACCAGTGATTCTCAACCTTCCTGCCGCGACCCTTTAATACAGTTCCTCATTTTGTGGTGACCCCCAACCATAAAATTATTTTCGTAGTTACTTCATAACTTCAGTGAATATGTATTTTTTTCGATGGTCTTAAGTGACCCCTGTGAAAGGGTCCTTCGACCCCCAAAAGGTCGCGACCCACAGATTGAGAATCAGTGTTTTATATGTGTGCGATCCTTTTATAGGAAGGAATAGACTTATAAACTTGGTTACAACTAGCAGGATTGATGGCGAAAAGAGCAAGGGGAATGGCAAAGAGATGAACTTGGCCTAATGGATTGGGTCAGACAGGAGACCTGACAGCCTTCACTTGTTGGCACAACACATGATGATGATGGAATTTATATTTATGAAACATCAGTCAAACTTGTCAGAGAGTCATCAGATTCAGTTTAGAAATGCTAAGTTAAAAAAAAAACTAATTCAATTTTTTTTTGAATGCTGAAAAAAGATTTTGGCCTCATTTATTAAAGTGTTTTAAACATATTTTTTAGATCTGAATCTTGTAAGGAAATTACTATTGAAAATATATTACTAGCCTCTGTTAAGTAATATGCTGATTAATATAAAAACATATATGAGGGCTGTTTGGAAAAGTACCACCATTGTTCTGCTTTTTGTGAGCCTTCTAGAAATGGGGTCACACTCAACAGTTTCTTGACAATTTTTGAAGTATTGAAGTGTTTGTGCCACACTTTTACCTGTGTCTCATTTTGAATCACCCTAATAGTTTCCATGGAGGAATGTGAGGGTTTGATTCAAAATGTGATGCAAATTCTTTGCTCTGATCATTCATTCAACTTGAATGCAATGATGACCAGACAGTGCATGTTCTTACTAAACGGTGTTTAATGAAGGCACCAACTCATTGTCTGCAAACATGCATCATGCCCAATAGGGGGCAATTTGGTTGTTAAGGGGGACAGTTTGAAAATGGACTCGACCAGAGTTTAACTTAAACA